CACCCTGACATGATGGAGGAGAGAATGGCCAGACGTAGGTTTAGATCTAAGTTCCTTAGGAAACAACAGCGAAGGAGAGAGAAATACAGAATCCTATTATTGGCCAAGTGTGACTGACACACAAGGAATTTGCCTCTGGTGCATAAGCTCACATTGCACATATAAACAGCAAGCAACAAGTCAAAGGTCAGGAATCATAGTTACAATCATTAATCATAGGTTACAAACAACAATTGATAAAATCATAAGAAACCGATAGGAGAAGATAGTGGGAAAGATGAGAGAATGAAAAAAAAAAGAGAAATTAAACAGTGCTGTGGGAATTAAGTGTTTAGCAGAGCGATGGCATGGTGGATAAAACTATGTTTGTATCTGATAGTTTTGGCATGCAATGCTGCATAGCGGCATCCAGAGGTGAGAAATTGCTGGCATTGGGTATGTCTAGTTTAATGAAGAGAAGGACGAGGGATGACATAATAGCCATGTTCCAATATCTCAGGGGCTACCCCAAGGAAGAGGGAGTCAAGCTATTCTCCAAAGCGCCTGAAGGCAGGACAAGAAGCAACGGATGGAGACTAATCAAGGAGAGAAGCAACCTAGAACTAAGGAGAAACTTCCTGACAGTCAGAACAATTAACCAGTGGAACAACCTGCCTCCAGAAGCTGTGAATGCTCCAACACTGGAAGTTTTTAAGAAAAGACTGGACAGCCATTTGTCTGAAATGGTATAGTGTTTCCTGCCTGAGCAGGGGGTTGGACTAGATGACCTCCAAGGTCCCTTCCAACTTTATTATTATTACTACTATTATTATTATTATTGTTATTGTTGTTGTTATTTATGGATCATCGCACAATCATCCAGATGTTCAGACTGGATTTGGCATTTTGTCTACCTACAGAGTCCTTACCAAGGACTTGGGATAGGCAGATGTGGATGTTTGATGGTATTACAGATCTCGTCGCAGGATGGAACTGGTTCCTAGTAAGGCTGCCTTTTGCAATTGACTAATAGCGAATTTGTCAATGCCAGTGGTGTTCAAGTGGTGCTCCAGTTGTTTTGGGATTGCAACCCAAGGAGCCTATCACTATTGGTACTACCCTTGCTTGCTTTTGCCACAGTCTTTCTATTTCTATTTGTAGGTCTTTATTATTATTAGTAGTAGTAGTATGGATCATCGCACAGTCAGCCAGATGTTCAGACTGGATTTGGCATTTTGTCTACCAATCAAGTCCTTACCCAGGATTGTTGTTGTTGTTGTTGTTGTTATTAAATAGTATAGGGTTTCCTGCCTGAGCAGGGGGTTGGACTAGAAGACCTCCAAGGTCCCTTCCAACTGTGTGATTCTATTCTACACAAATTGTGTCCAGGATGTGAGAATATCTCCCTTCCGTGGGAACAGTAGGAACCTTGCAGCATTCAAAGCAACTAAGATGAGATAGGTAGGATTCATGAGCGATCCTAAATCTGAAAAGGTAAAGAGCAAATTAACCAATAGCCGCAGAAGGGTGAACAACCCGAGCGAGGCGTTTAGGGACTGGAAAGAATGTAATAAAACCTATATTGACTTTTATTCTCGGAGAGGAAAAGCAATAAGCGTACAGCCTGGGGTTACGAGCGTTTCTTTCACTGTTTAATCGTGTCTCTGTCAATTGACTGCAGACGTTAGGATGCTTAGAAACCTCTGGGAAAATGTTGATGGGGATGCACTTATGGAAAAAGAAATGGAACACTGCAAGACACCGCTTTCGAATGTGATCAGTGGCATCTCTGCAGAAGCCTGATTCAGCAAACGGCTTGTGCCTGGGAGCTAAAACAAAGAAAAAAAGATGGGCGCACCGCCAAACATCACGATGATGCCCTCCCCCCCCAGATTTGGGGTTTAGGAAGCGCTTGCCTGCTTTTCAGCAATGGAGGTTGGTGTGTGTGTGTGTGGGGGGGGGGGTAGATGTAGCTGGGGATGGAAGAGGTGGCTTTGACTAGGACGCTTCCCTTCGCCACTTAAAAGGCCTGGAGAGGCTTCCTTTGCAAAACACGCTGAGCTTGTTTAATGTTAACCTTGGTTAGTTTGCAGCTTGGTGTGTGATGCAAGTCCAGCCCATTTGGTTAGCTTATGATTCAGTGCATTGTGCAAATCCAGAAAGGGGAGCTGATCCAGTGATCAAGTTAAGCAAGTTGTTCAAACCAAGCAAGTACAGCTGTTTTGTTTTTCTTTGGTGATCAGATTGACACAGGAATTACTCCTTCCTTCCTTCCTTCCTTCCTTCCTTCCTTCCTTCCTTCCTTCCTTCCTTCCCATCCTCCCTCCCTTTTCTCCCTTCTTTCCTTCCTTCCCATCCTCCCTCCCTTTTCTCCTTCCTTCCTTCCTTCCTATCCTCCCTCCCTTTTCCCCCTTCCTTCCTTCCTTCCTTCCTTCCCATCTTCCCTCCCTTTCCCCCTTCCTTCCTTCCTTCCTTCCTTCCTTCCTTCCTTCCTTCCTTCCTTCCTTCCTTCCTTCCTTCCTTCCCATCCTCCCTCCCTTTCCCCCTTCCTTCCTTCCCATCCTCCCTCCCTTTCCCCCTTCCTTCCTTCCTTCCCATCCTCCCTCCCTTTCCCCCCATCCATCCTCCCTCCCTTTCCCCCTTCCTTCCTTTCTTCCCATCCTCCCTCCCTTTCCCCCCTTCCTTCTTTCTTTCCTTCTTTCCTTCCTTCCTTCCTTCCTTCCTTCCTTGTATGTCATATATGTGTTTCACTTTGAGAGCGGGCAACTAAATTTCATTTTTGATGTGTGCCGTTGTGCCCACAGTAAAAAAAAAATGACAATAAAGGTTATCTTATCTTATCTTATCTTATCTTATCTTATCTTACCAGCCTCCCTTTTTCTCCTTCCTTCCTTCCTTCCTTCCTTCCTTCCTTCCTTCCTTCCTTCCTTCCTTCCTTCCCTCCCTCCCTCCCTCCCTCCCTCCTTCCCTCTCTTTGGAGTATGCTAGCTGCAAAGTAAACTGAAAATTACGCACAATAACTTTTCAACGAAAGAAAATCTTCTCAAAATTCACATTTCCCATGAAGCCCCACACTCTCTATTAGTCCCAAATAGAACAATAGCAAGTCACTGTTATTCTAAATGAAAGCTATGCTTTCCCTTCTTCCATTTCTTTCTTTCCTCTATTCATCCGTCCCGCAATTTATCTTGCGGGCTCCTTTTCATACTCCACAAAGCACAATTGCATACGGATACTGTATTGTGATCGTGAATATAATTACGCCCAAATCATTTCTATCAGAAATTATCCGGGGGACATTTTAATGAAGAGATTGTCCTATTATTTTGAAGGGGATACAATGCAGACCTTTCCTTTTTAGAATCGTGAAGCATTTTTGTACGTATTCCCAAATCCATTTCTCTATTTTCTTCATAGAAAAAACAAACTGCTTCAGACTGCTTCAGACAGGAAGGTGGTGCAGAGTGGTGAGGACGGCAGAAAAGGTTATTGGCACCCTCCCGTCCATCCGGGATGTGGCATATAAGTGTTGCTTGAGCAGGGTCCGCAAGATTGTCTGGGACACGACACAACCTTTTCACGACGTGTTTTCCTTGTTACCTTCTGGGAGGGGGGGGCTTTGGGGTATCCGAGGCAGAACATCCAGGTTCAATCACAGTTTTGTTCCATACAGTATTAACAGTGGTGGGATTCAGCCAGTTCGCACCAGTTCGGTAGAACTGGTAGCTAGTTTTTTGTTGCCCAGGCCAAGAATGGATTTCCGGAAGCGGCATCCACACAGAGAACCGGTTGTTCACATATTTGAATCCCACCACCTTGTAAACTCTAAAATTTCCGTTATGTATTCAAGACGGACAGTGATTAATATTTATACATTACTTATATGTAAGGGTATAGGTCCAGTGCTTTTTTTCTAAAAAAAGAAAAGGTGCTGGAACTCACACACGTCATACCATCTGCCTTGCCTACCCTACAAGGTTCCATCCCAAAAAATGTGCCAGAACTCGTTCTGAGCATTCTAGGAGAAAAAAAGCCCTGTATAGGTCTATCTATATCTATATCTATTATATCTATATCTATTTTCTGAGGTTTTCGCGGGTGTTTGTATGTAGGTCTTTGGTTATTCGGGTTTTTTCCCGCGTAAAATTGGAAATGTCTTGGCAACGTTTCGACGAAGTCCCATTCGTCATCTTCAGGCTGGTGTTTTCACTCCTCGAAGCACGAAGCTGAAAACACCAGCCTGAAGATGACGAATGGGACTTCGTCGAAACGTTGCCAAGACACTTCCAATTTTACGCGGGAGAAAACCCGAATAACCAAAGACCTACATCTATATCTATATCTATATCTATATCTATCTATCTATCTATCTATCTATCTATCTATCTATCTATCTATCTATCTATCTATCTATCTATCTATCTATCTATCTATCTATCTATATTGTAAAGAGTATGTTTAAATGTGTGTTATGTATGTGTACACTTTGAGAGCAAGGAACTAAATTTCATTTTTAATGTGTGCCATTGTGCCCACAGGAAAAATGACAATATCCATCCATCCATCCATCCATCCATCCATCCATCCATCCATCCATCCATCCATCCATCTATCTATCTATCTATCTATCTATCTATCTATCTATCTATCTATATCTCATGATGACAGCAACAATGACATACATGTTATTCTCATGATAGCAGCAACAGGGAGTGGAGGCAATGGCCCATTAATCTCATATTCACCTTTGCTAAGGCCAGGTAAATTCGTTTCATTCATACCTGGGCGGTTCCAGCATCCTTCTGGAGCTTCAGGTAGCTTACACCTGTGCACCCGCAGAGAACTACGAGCCCCAGAGTGCAAAGCGGGAAGGCGGTGTCAGGCGAGCCCTTAGGTCCCGCCTCTCCACCACTGTGATAGGACAGTGGGCGGCCGGCGTAGGCGCGGATTGGCCAGCAAGCGGTGAGCGGGGCGCGGCCGACCTTACCGCGGAGGCCGAGCCAAGATGGCGGCGTCTGAGGCGACGGGAAGATACAGGACCGCAATGAGCAAAACCAAGGATCCCTCCGGCCTGCTCATCTCCGTCATCAGGTAGCGGCGGCCGCCCCTCCTCCGAGGCGGGCTTGAGGGCCTTGACGGAGGCGTCGCCCCTCAGCAGGGCAGGCCGAGGGGGGACACTCGCTGCCTTGGGACCCCGGGAAGCGTTCACACAACCCGCATCGCGAGTCAGGGCCTGCCTTCGCGTAACACGCCAAGCTCGTGACTTGTAACACAGGTCGTTTCGGGCTGTGGTTTAGCTTAGGGGGAAGTGTACTGTGCCAACCCTGAAAGTGGGGTTAGTTAAGGACCCGGGATAAGCGTGTTGTGGGAATGACTGCCTCTGGGTCAGGGGCAGATGGAGTGATTCACAGGAAAGCTCGTCTCTTGGATGGTGTCCCCCAAAATATCTGCCCTCCCTGAGGTGATCAGGATTAGCTTTCTGCAGTGTGGTCCTTTCTGGAAGTTTTGGACTACTGACCCCATGATCCTCAGCCTGCCTGGATCTGGAAAACATTAGGCAGAGTCTGTGTATTTGGGGGATGGCGTGATTCTCACCTCAGTTTGCATCGTTAGCTTGCTCTCTGTCTTGCCATACAGGCAGTCCTCCACTTGTAACCATAACTGAGCCCAACATTTAAGCAACACAGTATTATTGTTGTTGTTGTTGTTGTTGTTGTTGTTATGTTTATGCAGTGTATATTGGAGGTGGTTACCTTTTGAGAGCTGAATGCACCGAAATCTCATCTTAATGTCTGCTGATTAGTGTACATTTAAAGTGACAATAAAGTTATTCTATTCCTATTCTATTCTATTCCGATTCTATTCTATTCTATTCTATTCTATTCTATTCTATTCTATTCTATTCTATTCTCATTCCGTCTATTCTATTTCTATTCTATTCTATTCTATTCTCATTCCGTCTATTCTATTCTATTCTATTCTATTCTATTCTATTCTATTCTATTCTATTCTATTCTATTCTATTCTATTCTATTCTCATTCCGTCTATTCTATTTCTATTCTATTCCCATTCCATCTATTCTACATTCTATTCTATATCTAGGCCTTGTAAAGTTGTGTTAATACTTCACCTGATCTTATTCTATCCCTCTGTTAATGCAGCCTAGCACTGTGTTGGCCTTTTTGGCAGCTGCAGCACACGGCTGGCTCCTATCTAAGGGATTGTCCACTAGGACTCCGAGATCCCTCTTACAGTTACTACTATTGAGTAAGGTACCACCTATAGTACTATACCTCTGCATTTGGTTTTTCTTGCCAAAATGTAGAAGCTTACTTTTTTCACCGTTGAATTTCATTTTGTTAGATAGCACCCAGTGTTCTATTCTATTCTATTCTATTCTATTCTATTCTATTCTATTCTATTCTATTCTATTCTATTCTATTCTATTCTCATTCCATCTATTCTATTTCTATTTCTATTCTATTTCCATTCCATCTATTCTACATTCTATTCTATATCTAGGCCTTGTAAAGTGGTATTAATACTTCACGTGATCTTGATTCTATTCCTCTGTGAATGCAGCCCAGCACTGTGTTGGCCTTTTTGGCAGCTGCAGCCCACGGCTGGCTCATATTTAAGTGATTGTCCACTAGGACTCCGAGGTCCCTCTCACAGTTACTACTATTGAGCAAGGTACCCCCTATACTATACCTGTACATTTGTTTTTTCTTGCCTAAATGTAGAACCCTGGCATTTCTTTCTTTGCTATGTATGAGTTGTTCTGGTCTAGTACAGCAAAGGTCCCCAACCTTTTGGGCACATGGGACCAGTAACACGGAGAGAGGTTTTTCTGCGGACCTGAGGGCGTGTGGTTTTGTGACCTGCCTGCATCTCGCGTATGGGGCTTTGTTTGTTTGTGTGGATCGGTTGCTGGCATGCTGCAGCCTGGTACTGGTCCACAGACCTGGGGTTGGGAACCCTTGTACTACAGCTCACAGGTTTATTATTGTAGGTTCAAGTCTTTGTCTGCCCCTGCTGTACTCCCTTCCCCCCCTCTCCCCCTGCCCTTTATTTACAAAAATTCACAATGCAAACTGGGGACAACTTCAATCTTTCAACAAAACACCTCTGGAGATTCTCAGTCCAGGTATAATGGTGGTCCCAAAGATGCTTTTTCAAAAAGGCAACAGGACTTTGTTTTTCCTTGAAGACATTTCGCTTCTCATCCAAGACGCTTCTTCAGTTCTGAAGAAGTTCTTCTGAGAGCTGAAGAACCTTCTTAGATGAGAAGCGAAACGACTTCAAGGACAAACAAAGTCCAGTTGCCTTTTGAAAAAGCATCTTTCGGGAACTTTGGCTCAAGTTTGTCGTGTGGAAATTGGAAGAGGGAGAACTTGCGAACACTAACCTGAAACTGCAGAAGAAAGATGGAATATCAATTTTAACAAACGACTGAATCATTATTGTATATTTGCATCTGACAAGCAGTTTTTCCACTTTGGGGCTGGTTGAGATGCATTGACGCCTTTCCAGGGAGTGTCATTTGCTATTTGTGCTCTCTGCTGATTAAAGTCAGGATTAAATAGTTGGAGCTCCACTGTTTTTTTTTACTACCGTGCTCGATGTGTGAATGCTCTGGAGCGTGCACTGTCACGTATCTGCTGTCAACTGTTTTGAAGTCGTTGGGGAAGGAAGCCAGTGGCGAAGAGAACACAATGTCTTCTGTCTTGAAGGACGAGGGCCAGGATTTTCTTCTGTTCTGCTTTATTTTGCCAAAGAACAGTGAAAATTTTTTGGAAGACTTTATCGTAGTGGGACTGTTTAAGTAATCCTTGAATTACGACTAAAGTTACGACTAAAATGGGGAACAGAATTTCCATCGCTAGGCAACTTAAGTGAATTGCACCAAAGTTGAAGACCTTTTTCGCCAATGTTGTTAAGCAAATCATTGCAGTCGTTAAAGTGAGTCGCAGTCATGAAGTGAATTCGCCTTTCCTCCTTGATTTACTTGGGGAGGTTGCAAATGGGGATAAAATAATCCTGGGGTGCTGCAACCATCATTAATGCATGCTTGGTTGCCAAAGTGAGTCATACGTCAGTGAGTGCTATTGTAACTTCAAACAGTTGCTAGGTCAATGGCTGTAAGTTGAGGACTCCCTGTAGTTAGGCAGGGTGGCTTAATAACAACAACAACAGTAATAACAATAACAACAATCACAGAGTTGGAAGGGACCTTGGAGGTCTTCTAGTCCAACCCCCTGCTCAGGCAGGAAGCACTACACCATTCCAGACAAATGGCTGTCCAATCTCTTCTTGAAAACTTCCAGGTTGGTCGGTCAGTCTATCAGTCGGTCGGTCGGTCTGTCTGTCTGTCTGTCTGTATATCTATTTATCCTATCTATCTATCTATCTATCTATCTATCTATCTATCTATCTATCTATCTATCTATCTATCTATCTATCTACCTACCTACCTACCTACCTACCTACCTACCTACCTACCTACCCTCCCTATCTCTCTCTTTCTCTCTCTCATCCATCTATATAATCTATCATCTGTCTGTCTGTCTACCTTATCCCTCTCTCTCTCTCTCTCTCTCTCTCTCTCTCATTCATCTATATAATCTCTCTCATCCATCCATCCACGTACCTACCTTCTCTCTCTCTTTCTCTCACTCTCTATCATCTGTCTGTCTACCTACCTACCTACCTACCTACCTACCTACCTACCTACCTATCTATCTACTTACCTACCTACCTACCCACCCTCCCTCCCTCCCTCTCTCTCTCTCCCTCCCTCCCTACCTACCTACCTACCTACCCTATCTCTCCATCCATCCATCTACCTACCTACCCACCCTATCTCTTCCTCCCTCCCTCCCTCCCTCCCTCCCTCCCTCCCTCCCTCCCTCCCTAATATCCCACCTTTATTTTTATAAACCTGGAGGGGGGGCATGTTTACAGATAGTCCTTATCTTACGACCACAATTGATTCCGGAATTTCTATTGCTAAGCAACATGGTTAAGTGAGTTTTGCCCCTTTCGTGATCTCTCCTGCCCCAGTTTTAAGCGAATCGCTGCACTTGTGAAGTTAGCAACGCGGATGTTAAGGGAGTCCGGTTTCCCCACCGGCCTTACCTGTCACAAGGTCGCAAAAGGGAATCAATCCCCTGACCCCAGGACTTGGCAAATACACGCCAGCTGCTAAGGGTCCGAATTTTGAACATTGACCGGGGATGCTGCAGGTCCCTCCCCCCCCCCCCGTGCCGTTTTAACTTTGAACGGTAATTAAATGAATGATTATAAGTCAAGGGCTACCTATATTAAAGAAATTTCTGTAGCTGCCTAGCTACCAGAAGGAATTCTGATTGGCAAGGCCAGAAGGCTGACTGTAAGCAGGACTGAGTTGCAATTACACATTTTTGGATAGAAGCTCAACTATTGTTCCATTTGTACGTGTGCTTTGAGGACTTTCTGCCTGTTGCTTTTTGCTATTTGAGAGGAAAACTAGTATTGCCACTGATTTTGTCTGTGCTGGCTATGTTTTGTGAGTAGGCTGCAACTTTCCCACACTGCTCCTTTCTGATAGCAACCTTTTCCCACATTTGTTGTTTAGCATTGCTTAATTTGCTGTTTCTGCCTACTCAGGGTGTATTATGACATTCCATCTGCACTGTGTATCTGTTGTGTTAATACTGTTTTTAAAAAAACGTTGGTGGATGGTATGGCGCTTGTGATCGCAGACTTTGGCTGGGATAAATTCATGCTGACAGGCAGGGTTTTGCGCAGGGATTCTTACTTATGAAAGTAGACGGGTTAGAATAATTTAATTTGTGCTTGTGAAGCTCAGATGTGTTTAAATTTAGGAATGCAGTAAAGCAGAAATGCTAAATTCAGGTATCTTAATGAATGTATCCATCCTCTCCAAAGTAAGAGGCAGGGAAACAAGATTTTTTTTTTAATAAACCCATCAAAGCTAGAACTCCAGGCTTGGTTAAATACATCAGAAATTCTGATTAGAATAATTTAAATTTACTCAAGATTTGCCCAATAGGAGATGAAAAAAGGCATTTGATATCCTGCTGTAAGT